GCCTGTCTTTTAAAAACTGTGATATAAAAAAGAGGTAAACGACCCCTCAAACCAAAATCATGTAAATCCTTTAAAATGCCATGCTTCCAGGTGATATCATATGCTTTCTCAAGATCAAAGAATATCGATACTGCATGTTGTTTATTAACTATTGCATTTTTTTACAAAGGATTCTAAACGTACCAAATGATCAATGGTACTACGATTTTTCCTGAAACCACCTTGAATATTTGTTATGAGATTATTGGTTTCAAGATACCATGTTAATCTATTATTTAATATTCGTTCCATGGTTTTACAGACGCAACTCGTTAAAGAGATTGGTCTGTAATTAGACGGATCAGTATGATCCCGACCAGGCTTTGGTATAGGGACTACTATGGCTTTACGCCACAAAGTTGGGAAATTCCCTGAATTCCATATTGTATCAAAAATATTTAGAAGTGGTTCCAAACATGATTCAGGTAAATGTTTCAAGAGCTGATAGTGTATATTATCAGCCCCTGGTGCTGTATCATGAGCTTGCTCAAGGGCAGTACGTAACTCATGCATTGAAAATAATTCATTATAGTCTTCTCCATTGTCTGATGTAAAATTTATTCTTTTCTTCTCCTGTTGTTTCTGATGTTTCTGAAACTCAGGGACATAATTGGATGAAGACGAATGTTTGGCGAGAGTTTCACCAAGCTTATCGGCAATGTCAGCCTTATCAGTTAACAAATTATCACCGTCCTTTCAATGAGGAACGGTAGATTTGGAACCTTTGCCCTTTATTCTTTGTATCATGTTCCACACCTTTGACATCGGTGTGAGCGAATTTATTTTGGAAATATAGTTTCGCCAAGACTGACGCTTATTCTGTTTAAAAGCGCGTCGCGCCTTGGCATTTAACATTTGAAATTTATCTAAATTATGGACAGTAGGATGTCGGCGAAAATATTTTTCTGCTTTCTTCCTACACTTTCTGGCCTGTTTACATTCGTTATTGAACCATGGTTTACGAATATGTGGAACTGCAGAGGACTGATGAATTGTTCTGTCAGCAATACCATTAAGGATATCAGAAAACGACTGAATAGGATCTTCACTGTTCCTAAAACGATCATGAGTTAAGTGTTCAGCACACAGAGTCTCATATAATGACCAATCAGCTCTGCCGAAGTTCCTTCTTGATAAAGGTAGATCATCATCAGGGCTGATTGTTTTGAGAATGGTGGGGAAGTGGTCACTCCCACACAGATCATCATGGACCATCCATTCGAATTCATTATACAAGGTTGAATCGGTGAGTGACAGATCCAGGGAAGAATATGTTCCCGTAGCTGGATGTAAATAAGTGGCTGAGTCGTCATTGAAAATACATAAATTGTTATCGGAAATGAATTCTTCAAGGATTTTACCTTTGGTATTAATATAAGCACTTCCCCAAAGCGGGTTGTGTCCGTTAAGATCGCCCATGATGAGACATGGCTTCGGAAGTTGATCAAATAGATTTTGAAGATCGGACTTTTGAATATTAGAAGAAGGAGGTATATACAAGCTGCACAATGTCAGCGCAATGTGTAGGGTCAGACGAACAGCAACAACTTGAAGATCCGTATTTAGAGTGACAGGGCTATGAATGATGTTCTGATGTACAAAAATAGAAGCGCCTCCAGTAGCTTTATCGCCTGGAGGGGAAAAAGAATGATAATCATTATACCGTCTTAAGTTAAAGTTATCAGTATTTTTAAGACAGGTCTCCTGGAGACACAATGCTGACGGTTCAAGATCTTGTATAAGTAATTGTATTTCATTGAAGTTATTCTTCAGTCCTCTGCAATTCCACTGAATTAGATTGGTCAAGTGATTCATGGTGGCTTAATTGGAGTGAGTCCACGTGAATGTGAGGAGGAACTATTCCCCCGCCTGTCCTGTGAGGACAGAGTAACCTCCATATCTAGATGTGCAAATGTATTCTGTGTTAAAACCTCAGGAGATGAAGGGACAATAGGTTGTTTGTCTCTATTTAATCTCTTTCCTTTCTTCTGTTTTGAATTTTCACTGACTGGTTTAAAACAGACGTTTCAGATTGATGCTCATTGTGATTTTCTGTTTGAGAAGCAGACGTAGAGTGTGTGACTTTCGGAATACTCTGAAGGGCTGAAGCAGAAGGAATAGGTTTAGGTGATGTAACCCATGTCAAGTCGGTCTGACAGGAAACGGAGGACGTTGCTACAGAGCCGGTGACTGCAGCAGAGTAGGTCAGATTTGATGGAGTCTGAGTTGATGGAGTCAACAGTTTCTTTGCCTCAAGGTATGAAATATTGTTTTGGCATTTGATGTTCAATATCTGTGATTCCCGTTGATACACGGGACAGGACCTTGATGAGGCAGAATGGGGACCGTTACAGTTGGCGTACTTATATTCTTGCTCACAGTCAGAACCATCATGTCGATCACCACAACGATGGCAGACTGAGGAGTTTCGACAGGATTGCGAGCCATGCCCGAAATGTTGACATTTAAAACAACGGAGTGGACTGGGGACATACACATCCACTCCGATGTTGAAATAACCAGCTTTGATAGATTTTGGAAGAGATGAACGGTCAAAAGTCAGTAGATACGTGTTGGTTTTCACAATAATGCCTTCTTTCTTAATCGTGAAACGTTTCACTGCAGACACACCTTGATCTGCCAACTCTGAAGCAGTGTACTCCTCTGACATATCAGCGAGACAACGTGCTCTGTCTCGGATAATGCCACGACAAGAGTTTAGCGTCCTGTGCACAGACACAGCAACCTCTATGTTTGCAAATGTCTTGATCGACAACAGATTGAAAGATTGCTGCTTCCGTGCACACTTTCGACAAGAAGCGAGCCACTACGGAGACGGGTAACATCTGTAACTTCTCCACAAATTGCGGAGATGGCCTTTGAAATTGCAAAGGGGTTAAGTTTAAGTGGAAGAAAGTCCGAAGCCTCAATAACAACAAATCTAGCCCATGAGTCACTGTTAGAAGATACATGTCCAGTAGAGAGATCTAAATCCTCTAAGCGTCTCTTTTTTTCATTTCTAGTTGAACCAGATAGTGGAAGTGCCATGATGAAAGGAAAAATATTCTGCACCCCTGCTCCCCACCCACCATGGAGTGTCAACAAGGACAGTGTCAAATAGCACCGGATATCCAAGATGCCGACACCAGGGATACAGGGGTGTTATACTCCAGAGAAAACAACACAAATAGCTGCATTTGTCTACCAATTACATGCCCGACTGGTTCGGCCCAAGGCAAGAAATTAGAGACATGCCTCATTTGGAGGTCATCACCACCAGATTGGCCCATGAGCCACCGCCTTCTGGCATAGGACTCTAGGCAAATGTATATAATAATATAATTTTGAAATGCAACATTCGATATCAACATTATGTAAATGTACATTAACATAAATTTGAATGTTGTCCATGCACAGGGCATGGCGTGACCAGCCGATTGGTAGAACCGGGCCAGTTCTACCACCCGTCTAGGTGAAGTCAGGGCCGAAGTGGTGTGTTGGGCAAAGGAACACTGTTCCTGGAACCAGTGCCCTCAACCACCAGAATCGCTTCCTCCACCGACACAGGGGCGCAACCAACGGCAAACGGGTTGGTGGACCAAATATACCCCCGGGTCCACAACGGGGGGTCGAAGAGCGCTTAGCGTTACCCAGCACCCACCACGAGGAGGTGGCTCTTCACGGGTGCCTCTGAAATCAGACCAGAATAAATTTGACCTTAAATAAGATTAATATTATTGATAATTTTGAAGCGGTATAGCTAGCAGCAGACTCTTTCAGGAACCTAAGCTTCATTTTGGTACCGCTGGAGGAAATGAGCGTTTACGAACTGAAGAGCAGGTTAACGCCACAGATGAAGAGACCAATTGCCTTTACAAGGAAAGCAAGTTGCACAAAGTGAACTTGTTATACAGTTGAGAAGTTTGGCATGAAGATAGGCAGATCTACGGTATCGGACATTCTAAAAGAATCACCAAAATGGTTGGCTGTGCCATCTGCCTATACTATACCAGTCGAGAAACAGGATTCCACAACAAGAGGAACTAGGGAAAGCTTTGTTTCCCTTACTGATGTAAGGTCACGAAATGTCATGCTTTATGATGAACTGTTAAAAACTCAGGCAAAAAGTGTTGGGCGATAGGTTAGATTTTGGCTTCAGTACTGTTTGGCTAAATCGTTTCAAACAACGTCATGGAATATATAATCACAAAGTGCATAGAGAATCTGCCTCTGTGAAGGCAGGCAATCTCTTCAGGAAGTCATCGCTGGCTACAATCCTTGTGACATTTGTAATTGTGATGACACTGGCTTATTCTACAAAATTGAACCGAATTCTACTTTGAGTACTGGTCCAGTTTCAGGTTAGATACAGCCTAAAGATCTCCTGGCCGTAATGCTGACTGTAAATGAAACTGGCACCGAAAAGCTGAAACAGCTTGTCATTCACAAATTCATTCTCCAAGATGTTTTGGTAGAACATTTGATCCCACATCTCTTTGTCATTGGTATGTCAACAAACGAGCATGGATGACATCGTTATTTTCCGAGATTGGCTTGTGAACTTCGACCGTCAAATGGGATTGCAGCCACGTGATCCTGCTGTTGGATATCGCCCCGGTTGACTGTTATTTGTCACTTTCTCCCGCCAAATACAACTTCACATATTCAGCCACTCGATATTGGTATCATCAAAAACTTCAAACTCCAGTACAAAGAGCAACAAATGAAGCTCTATCTGGACAATACACAGACTAAAACACCACAAACTCTTGACGTCAAGAGAGCCCCGCTCTTCATCAGAACAGCTTGGAACAAAGTCAAGCAACAAACCATCATTAACTGATGTCGCCACACGCACATTCTGCCATCTAATGAACCAGTGGCCCCTGATTCTTTTCACCGATGCCGAGGAAACAATTGCAGAAATTTCGACAGCTGTCAATAGAGTGTATGGGGCAAGCATGTTGACAGATGACTTTCTCAATGCTGACAGCAATCGGCCATTTGAAGAAGCCCTGTCCGATGAATCCACGTTCGACATGGTACGAGTCACTGAAAACAGTGAAAGCAACGATGACGAAGTTGACGACAGCGAAGAGCCCACCATCCCCAAGGCTGCAACTGTTAAAACTCATCAACCAAATCGTTTTAGTTATATTTACACACACGCTTAACATGAATCATGATTGTCCTGTTTTTGCATTGACCATGAACGTGATCTGTTCTAAAAATTCGATAATTCGACATTCTTGTTAATCCGACAATTTGCTGTGCAACGGACGATGTCGGATTAACAAGACCTGACTGTATACTATTTCCAGATTTGTCTGTGAGGTGAAGAAGACGTTATATGGACTTGTGGTCTTCCTCCAATTACATATGGACAGCATTGGCAAAGCCTACAAGTTACCAACTGATGACGCCGTTTGCAAACAAAGAACACCCGGGATAACAGGATGAAAAGTCGTTCTAAGGATCAATCCAGTAAGCCACAGGTTCAAGTCAAAGTGACCCCACCAGGGGAAGTTTTGTGGGCAAAAGGTGGCCTTGGAAGTGATAACCCTAAGCAATTATTGGATAACATTTACTACTTGATTGGGATTAATTTCGCTCTGAGAGACTTCTCAGTTCTCGTTATCTTCTGATCTATACTGAGAATGTATCATCTAAATCCAATCAGGGGGCCTTAAGCAACGGAAATGTACAGCAAAATCTGTGAGGACCTATGAGTACGTTGACAAGCCTGAAAGGTGTTTGGTTGCACTCTGAAATATATTTAACCCATAGACAACCCCCCAAACAGACAGTGTGACCCCTTCTACTTGCGACCATTACGAAAAACCAATGGCCGACGTGTGATACATCAGTCAAGCAACTGGCCGCCACAGTCTACCTGCTGCAGTGTCGGACATTTGCCAAAGAGCTGGATTGATCGGACACAGGACCAACCACTCAGTATGCGCCCCTCGTTTGTTTGAGGTTGGTGTTGATGAGGAGGAGTTGATATGCGAGGTAACTGGGCACCTGCGAGGAGCCTTAAGCGTACCAACTGGGCTCAAAAAAAGAAGGTCAAGCTCTTCTGCAAGGTCAAGCTTCAGTTCCTGGGTCAGCCAGTTCCACCGCCTGTTCAAGTACTGACATATATAACTCTGACGACAGTGAAATAACAACATTCTGTTCCTGTTAATGTGAATGTCAACTAAATGTAGTTACAGATAAAAAATGTTAAACTGTAAAGTTGTGAATGTTTTATCTTGGTAATGAAAATACTTATTGTTAGTAATGGTGACTTTTCGCAGGGAAAGTCTCCTTTACTGAAATGTAATGGATAGCTTTGCAATGACCAAGCCGAGCAGGTGTATTTTGATAGGAATTAAATTATGGATATAACTATATGAATTTGGTTATATATTCTGTTCCGATATCTTTGATCCATATTAAGATATCAGCAATTTTTTTCAAGCAATGACCAAGCCAAGCAGGTGGATTGAATTATTGATATTAATCAAATAATTAATTCTACATGAAATACGTTTATCTCGCTCCATTCTACCATAACCACGTTGATGAAGATTTCAAAAAATACATACTGTGTTGGAAAATCAGAGGTATATAACGTGATTATATACGAAGATCTTGTACGTTTAAAAGTGATTATGCCACCACGTTGTGATCAACTGTTCTATCATGAGCCAGGCATTATTTCATTGCCTGATGATGGATTACATGTGTATTATTAAGTGTATTCCTCGCTTGTTATGGTGATGTTGTCAAGATGCAATAGACTCCTGTTTCGATCCTGTCCGTGTTTTGCACAAACACTCTACAGTCAAATTCCGTTTCGTCTTTAAGCACAACGGGACTTTATGCATGAAAACACCTTTCACAGTGCTTATCGATATTATCGACATTAAGACAAGAACATCCATCACAAGGGATAAATATTTCAGTGCCAAAACATTTAAGTATCTTTTTTATTATGTAAATTATCATTTAATAATTGAGTTTTTAAAAGAATTCAGAGTTGATTTTTGATAAATTTTGATTTATATGTTTTGTGAATAAATAAATGATATTTTATAATCGGGAGAATAAATTAGCAACTAAGATAGTTAGTGGCTGTATCCTTGAAAGGGTTTAAAGTACTGTGAAATGATTGTCCTCCTGAGAGGGTACGTAAGTCCCAAAACTTTCAAAGTCAATTTCGCTCTACACACCTTTTCAAGCGTAGAATATTTGTTTTATTATGGCTAAATATCAGTACAATCGCCAATGGCTGAAGGGATGATATAAGGGTACATGCTGGTAGCCAAAGTACTGTAAGCCCCCATGGTCTCTAGAGTGGTGATGATCTACCTTCAGTTGGTGGCGATCCTGAGCCCTGTTTTATATTTTATTGTCCAAATATGAAATCATATTTTAGAGATATATGCTAGTTTTATTTCTTATTACTGTGATATACTAGCTGGTTTTTTTCTGTCCTTCGTCGACAGGTTATTAATATTGCGCATTTATCATGAATTTATAAATATTTTAAGTCATGATATGGATGAAATACTGACGTTGTGAATATAAACTTTAACTCACTCACTCACTCACTTAGACGAGAACACTGCAATGAAATCAAAGAAGTCAAATTTTTAAGAAATCAAATATCCACTGTGTCTTCTTTTATTGTTCGTTTTGGCCGGATTCAAAAGTATATATGCACAAACAATAGCCCACACTTCAGCAAGGTTGGTGCTAATGGGTGCAAGTCGTTATAATTTTTAACTTGTGATTCAGTGCCTGTAAACATCATTATAAAATATAAATAACTCTTAAAACGTTGAGTATGTAAACTTCACTTTGGTAACTCGATAAGAGTGAGTGAGTTTAATTTCAGTCACGTCGTCAGTATTTCAGCCATATTGTGACTCTATCAGGTTATACTACTCTGCGATAATATTAAACAGTGCATTTCAAACTAAAATCTGTCAACAAAGGACAGTAAAATGAACACGCAACGGTCGTCTGTACATTTTGACAGCACCACAAGTATTGAGTGAGTGAGTGAGTGAGTTAAGATTTATAGTCACTTCTGCAATATTTCAGCCATATCGCGACTTTAACACAGTACAAATTCATAATCAATGCAATTACATTATAAAAAGACAAAACTCTCGACGAAGAGACAGTAAAATAACTAAATCAACAACAAGTCTTGAATGAGTGAGTTAATATTTAACGTCACATCGGCAATATCTCAGCCATAGCGTGACGAAAACAATTTATACAATAAAAAATGAAAACATGGGCATCGACGATGGACAGTAAAATACCAGAATATCACATATATGAACATAAAACTAACATGTCAAACTAAAAGATTTTACTTAAAAAAGACAATAAACCTGTCGACGATGGACAGTAAAAACTCCTAGAGTATCACAGATATGAATAGAAAACTAGAATGTAAATCTAAAACATTTTAATTGAAGAAGACAGTACAATATAAAACACGGGCTATAGATCGCCAACAACTGAAGGTAGATCACCATACTAGGAACCATGGGGACTTACATTACTTTTGCTACCTGCATGGAGCCTAGCTGGATTTACACCACCCCTTCAGCCGCTGGCGATTGTAGGATGCTTTAGCCGAAATTTAAAAGAACAAAAATACTACGTTCAAAAACTTGGTACGTGATAATTTTACTTTGAAAGTTTTTGGGACTTACGTACCCTCTCAGGAGGACAATAATTTGACGCTACTTCAAGCCCATTTGAGGATACAGCCGCTAACAATCTAAGTTGATAATCTGAACTACCAATTTTAAAACTCTATCTATTTACAAAACATATATCAAAATTCATTGAACAAATCTATCTCTTTTAAAAAATCAATGATGAAATGATAATTAACTTTATTAAACAGATCCTTTACTGTTTTGATATTGAAATATTTATCCCTTATGCTGGGGCTGGGAAATAACGTGAATAAAATAGACAATTGTCGGAATTTAAAAAAATGTTGCCAGTTACCATGATGACATTACAGTTATGGGCAGTACAGTTGACCTAGACCTTGATATGATGAGTTAGTTTGTAAAGATTTTATGTCGCATCAGCAGTATTTCAGTCATATATCGTGACTAAAACAAGTTATAGATTCATAATAGATCAGGTCAAATTATAAAACCCTGTCAGTGAGGGAGAGTTAAACATTTTTATTTTTACTATAGAAGACAAAACAACCTAAAAACAGGCTACAGAAGGTAGATCATCCTATTAGGGACCATGCGGACTTACAGTACCTTTGCTTCCTGCATGGACCCTAGCTGGATTTACACCATCCCTTCAGCTGTTAACAATTTAGACGAATCAAACCATACATTAAAAGGACACATATTCTATGATTAAAAAAGTGGTCAGTTTAAATTTACTTTTGGGACATCCACATGGCAATGGAATTAGTTTATTTCATCGACGTTTGCACACACTGCAGCTGGTAGAAAGAACAAATTAGTTACTAATAAAGAAAATACCATGGCGGTATTTGTCTTTTTTTTCTGACGTATTTTTCTGTTTTCAATTCCTGTTATAGTTCAAGATTAAACAAAATGTTTCTTTCTGAACTAACAATCACCATATGCCGTTTTCTCTTTCAAGCTGTTGAAGCTTTTGTTCTTTATGCAGAAAACCTGCGCACGATTTGTTTTATGTGAGACACTCATGGCGTCCCATGTAGGTATTGAATGATCTCTGAGAGGTGCTTTTGTTTTGACAGGATGATCAAGAAATCGACATTGCTAGTGGCGTTTTGTTCCACTCTGACTTAAACATACAAATAGTGTTGTCAGTGTCTGATTAGAAATCAATGAACACGTCCTTGTCCACCCGTAACCATGACATACCCAAAATGAATACGATTTATACATATATATCGACATAACGAACACTATAAAGTGATGTGCTGCTTGCGATGTGGAGCTTTTGGTGAAGGGAATTTAATACACATACAAACTGCAGGTGATGTCAACATACCTAAAACATTCATAGGGAGGAATCATTTTATGTATATAAGTGACATGGTCAAATCAGTGTAACAAGAGCCCACAAGTTCTACTCCATATAATTGTAATGTTTCTAATTTCTCCACGTTCTTTTGAGGTTTATGTGGTAATGTAGCTTACATATGTCCGATTTGTTTGGCGGAAGGTACAATTGCAGTGACGTTAACGTCATTATGGTGTCGCACAAAAATGACGTCTAATGATCAAAGTCATATATCTAAATGACTAAAGTGAAGCGAAGGCGTTCATTCCTCTTTCAAAAGCTATACGCTATTTTGCATTACCACCAGACTAACCCATTGCCCATATATGAGTGAGTTTGGCTATACGCAACTCTTAGCAATATTCCAGCAATATTATGTCGGGGGACACCAGAAATGGGCTTCACACATTGTACCCACGTGGAGAATCGAACCCGAGTCTTCGGCGTGACGAGCGAACGCTTTAACCACAAGGCAACCGCAACACCCCTGCCCATATATAATTAAAACTGCAGCATGTTAACCACTGATAAACATATGATTTGCTGCATGAGCGAGTATGTAGGGAAGCCTTATAATAACAGTAATCAATCGTCATCCGAATCAGTTCCCCGCACTGGTCTTTTCATATGTCACAGTATGACGGGACCGCCCCTGTTTAAATACATTTTCCCATTTGATTAATAATACGAAAACTATTCCTGTCACATGCTGCGGTTCAACTAAGAAAATAACGGAATTGATTTTAAGCAGATATACATTGACGACACGATAACCAAACCGACGTTGTGTACAGAGAGCAATGTCAGTCTGCTGATGGTATTGACAAGATGAACAAGACAAGTGAGCGCTGACTTAGTTGTCGTGAAGCAGCGGGACTGTCAACATGTTCCTGCTACTGGTGTGTCTCTGTGTTGTAGGAAATAACGGTAAGACAGTGTCACGGCTAACAGTAAAATTTAACACTAGTGGTTTCATGACAATATTATTTTCTTCACGATTTTATTACAGTAATTTTCAATGATTCCTTCATATGAATTTCACGACTATTTTGCCTTATGCGTTTCATAGAGTCTGTTTCGGTGGATAATCCTCCTTTCATGAATGTAGTCTCAAATATGTTTCACGCTACTGTAAAAAAAATTGAATTGTGTGTGACAGTCTCAATATTAAAGATGACTAATTTGTATGAAACAAAAGAAAGACACAATTTTATACCTGCAAAAGTCATTACTTTTCAAACCTAATGAAACATACCAACCGATTCTTCTGTACTATGGACGCTTGTGGTTTATTGGTTCCTCAAAGGAGGTTAAAGTACTGTAAAACTATTGTCTTCCTGAGAGGGTACGTAAGTCCCAAAACATTTCAAGTAAATTTAAGTCTACCAGGTTTTAATCGTAGTAGTTTTGTCTGTTTAATGTATGGCTAAATCACAGCATAAACGCCAATGGCTGAAGGGATGGTGTAAATCCAGCTAGGGTCCATGCAGGTAGCAAAAGTAATGTAAATCCCCATGGGCCCTAGTATGGTGATCTATCTTCAGTTGTTGGCGATCAATAGCCCATTTTTACATTGTATTGTCCAAATATAATTTTCTACTTTTACAGATATATGCTAGCTAGTTTTAACTCAATCTGTGATAATCTAGTGGTTTTACTGTCCTTCGTTGACAGGGTTTTATATGTTATATGTATGTATTATGAATTTCGAACTAGTCACGATATGGCTGAAATATTGCAGATGTGACTTTAAATCTTAACTCACTCACTTGATCATTGGTGTATCGTACCGCATTTGATGGTATTTATTTGGCGAGAAGGTATTGACTGTAAAGTGTAGGCAAATACTTACTTCCATAATATGTCATCCCTATTTGTCATTTGCGCCTTGTCATTTAGTGAAAAAGGTACATTTTGTAATAATGAGGTGAATCTAAAATACACTCAGGTGAATACTACGAGCCAGGGCAGCAGACTATCAGACCAATGTCTGAACCACAAGTCCTAGTAACAAGGACCCTTGAGATGTTTTGGCTCTATGGTTGACTATCAGCCTTAATTAGGCAAATGAATCAGGCGACTAGATTGCATCTATTTAAGTTTTTCAAGCCTTTAGATTTTTCATATTTGATTTATATCCAATATTTTATCCTAAAAGATGTACCTTTTTGTTGTTACTGAAACTCGTTTCTACATAAAATACCTCTTTATTATGTAGCAAATGGCAACAGCAGCAGTGGAAAGGAATTCCTGGTCACCTTTCCAGAAAATGCATTATACCCCAACGAGCCGAAACAACAATGCATCATCGTTACAACCGTTCTGAATGCTGCGTCTGTGCAGGTCACCAGTCTGTCTCTGAGCATCAACTTCACACAAACCGTGAACATCACCAGTGCTGAAGGCGGTTATATTTGCCTAGAAGAAGGCATCCAGTTGTCAGGGAGTGGAATAACAGATAAAGTAGTACGCATCATCTCCGATAACGACGTAAATGTTCTTGCTGTCGATTTTGGAGGTTTTTCAATGGATGTATATCTCGCACTACCAGTTGATCAGTTCGGGTTCAGTTTCTATGTAGTGACCTATCAGAGTACAGGTGACAAGACACAGTTCTCAGTGACGTCTTCTTCCGCCGATACTTCAGTAACCATAGAGTTCCCATCTGGTCTGGCTACATTACAGTATAATAGTATCACCATTCTAAATCCAGATATAATAAATGTAACCCTACAAAAGCACGAAGTTATCCAGTTCCAAAATGATAGAGACCTGACAGGAACGTACGTGTCATCAAACAAACCAATTGCTGTCATAGCGGGAGCACGGAAATCCTCTTTGGACACTACAAAAACCAAAGATCATCTTGTTCAACAGATGACCCCCGTTACTACATGGGGCAAACACTTTGTGTCCGTTCTCTCCCCAGAAAAGACTAACACATCAGAGGACCTGTATCGCATCCTTGCAAGCACCTCAAACACAACTGTACATGTAGGGGGTTCAATTTACAACCTGGAAAAAGAAGGGGACTGGTTGGAAACAAGGATCTCTGCCACAGATCCTGTGAAGATCACGTCGAATGAAGCGATATTGGTGGTAAAGTTTGTGACAGTTACAAAAACCTTTGACCCCTGTATGATGATTGTTCATCCAAACACCCAGTGGCAATATCAATACAGCTTCCGGTTTCCTAGCAAAAAGAGTTCTGCGTATGTAATTGTCGTCATTGACTCGTCCTTCAAATCAAGTATAATGCTCAACTCACAACCTCTCGATATACAGAACTGGGTTGAAGTCATGGATGCGCCCCTGACATCTGGATATATCCTTCTTCCCAAAGGCTATTACGTCTTACAAAGTGCCAGGACTGTGTTTGCAGTATACATACACCAGAAGATTAGAAGTACAGGCGCCTTCTGTTCAGCAGCTGGAATGAACTTAACGCTGATAAATGAGGTAAGAAACTATAAAGATCAATTGATATGATTACTTTCTTGATCAATTAACTATCCTACGGTCTGATAATGTACATATGACCAACAAAATTGAGTAAATGTCAATATTCTTTCATTAAAGAATTGGATTCACACAAAAGAAAACATTACAACTTGTCAGCCAAGCACATTGACGACATCCACAACAGACTCTACCACCACAACAACGATCACGACATATGCGAGTACTTCCACCAGTGCAACAACTACCTTAGCAAGCACAACATCGACAACTCCGCCATCAACTACCACAACTGTTCCAACTGCTAGTGCATTCACTTCCTCAAGTACCAAAGCAGAAACAACGGTCACCATGGATACAACCCTACCCGCTTCAGGAGCTGACGAGTCAACGGTCGGTGGTAATGTGGACCCGGGACACAACTGTTCATGTGAAAAGGAATCCAACACTATACATCAAAATATGACCCTTGAGGAACTCCAGAAAATCATAAAGAATCTGCAAGCTGACCTCCGGATCCTCCCAAACCAAACGTCCAAAGCGAGGAGGAGGAAAATCAGTGCCCCTGATGACAGGCCCTCGTCAAAGACGTTTGGGGCAACAGGCTGCACTTTTCTCACTTTGTGTTACGTTATTATGTTCCTTGCCGACATTCCACGAATAATGAGGCACCTGAGAAGAGCCATCTAGTCATGAATGTTGTATCCATAGGTATCGAGCCATGTTTAATTGTTAAATTGTTTCTCCTTCACTTTGCACACACACGCTTGATTTCAGGCTGTATCGTTGGTCTTGTAACACTATTCAACTCTTAAGAATACATACGCCAGCTGAATTTCCTTTTTGACTTCTGCATTTATAGTGAGTGAGTGAGTTAAGAATTAACGTCACATCGGCAATATTTTAGCCATATCGTGACGAGAACATATTTGACATTGAAATGGAACGTGTATATTATATAAACCTGTCATCAAAGGACAGTAAAATAACTAGAATATCACAATTAGAATTAAAACTAGCGTGGAAAGTTAAAACTAATAGCACTATTTGGAAAATACAATACAACAACAGGCTATAGATCGCCAACAACTGAAGGTAGATCACCATACTAGGGACCATGGGGACTTACAGTACCTTTGCTACCTGCATGGACCCTAGTTAGATTTACACCATCCCTTCAGCTGCTGGCGAATGTAAGAAATGTTAGCCAAAATTAAAATAACAAGAATACTACGTTTAAAACTCCTGGTAAGTTTAAATTGACCTTGAAAATTTGGGGACCTACGTACCCGTTCAGGAGGACGATCATTTTACAATACTTCAACCCCCCTCGAGGGTACAGCCACTAACAATCTGAGTTATTAATTTAAACTTCCAATCATAAAATATTTATCTATTTACAAATCAGTTAACAAATCCAATTCTTTTAAAAATGCAATAATTAAATGAGAACTTATATTATTAAAAAGATCCTTCATAGTTCGTGATTGCTGTATTTATAAACCAAAGTGTTGATTTGAATGCACAATGTGATTTTGCATTTAGTAAATTGTCAAATGTGACACATGTCAAATTTGGGTTTACACTTTCTCAGTAAAGTGCATTCTAGTGTTTTTCGAACTTCACCCTCAGAGTCAGGCAGTGTAAATTGTCCCTTCATCAGGTGAACTGACAGTTAAGACTATGACGTCACAATGCATGTGACATCACAATACAAAAGGAAGAGTACAGTATAAGTGAAGTTGAAAACTTGAAGTGTTAATTACATTATGATGATAAATTTATGCTAGATAATAGAGTTGAAACTTGAATTGTCAATGCACAACGATTGCTAATTAGACAAAAGTTACTTGATAGAAGGCTTTCCAAAATGAACAGTAGGCTTTTCAAAATGAATGGATAATAGGCTTCACATTTATCAAAAGTTCATCAAAAGTTAATCAAGAGGTCCAACGCTCATAGTGACGACCCCATAGTCTCAACTGTCTGTTCACATGATGAAGGGACCTGGAATGGTCCCGAAACGTCGTGAGGGAAATCAAAAAGAAGTTTAATCCATAAAAATATCTTGGACAAATACATACATCGTCAGTTTTTTACCATTTTTTTACATGACATCAACGAAACGAATGTATTGTATACTGAGAAAACGGATATACTGTTGTTTTCTGACATACAATGAGCATAGTAAGAAATGATGTCCTTATTCGACAGTGTTTCTTTACAATATATTACCATGAAATGTTAGAAAATATTATATTGGATTAGTGATTTGGAGGTCTTGTACGTTTATAAGTGATTGTCACCACATGACGATCAATTGTTTCATTGCCCGATGATGGATTGCATGTGTATTATTAAGTGTATCTCTCGCTTGTCATGGTGATGTTGTCAGGATGCAATAAACTCCAAGCCCATGTTTCGATCCTGTCAATGTTTTGCACAAACACTCTACAGTCACATGCCGTTTCGTCTTTAAGCACAACGGGACTTTATACATGAAAACACATTTCACAGTGTTTATCGATATTATCGGCATTAAGACGAGAACACTGCATGAAATCAAAGAAGTCAAATATGTAAGAAATCAAATATACGCTGTGTCTTCTTTTAATGTGTTGTTTAGTTCTATCTATAGGCTGGATTCAAAGGAAAATATGTAGAAACAATACCCATGCTTCAGGAAGGTTGGTCTCAGAAGGTTGGTGCTAATCGATACAATGGAAAGATTGTAAAAGATGTAAAGATAGTGGTGTTGTAAAGGTGGAGGTGTTGTTTGGCAATATAGAAAGAACTGTTCTGGATCCAATGGTAGCAGCACTAGCAGCTGCGCCACCATCCTTGGATCCATCGGTAAAGATAGATTTGTAAGCAGCAAAAGTTAATTGATTTATATTATTGTTGATAGCTTATCTGATTGGTTTTAGATGTTTTAAGGTTTGTTAATGTAAGGTCCACCTGTGGTCTTCACATTTACCAAGGGGAGAAGAAAGCAGACGAAAAGCAGATATATTTCAAGGTCTGCATCAGAAATGAAAGGTTTAATTCATATTCCTACGGGTGGAATAATAGTAAACTTCTCATTGTAAAGATTCTCATAAAGAGGTGTAAAACGCAGCTGAACGCAGGGTTGGATTCATTTGAATATAGTTTTGTGATGTATTGTAACTATAATTTCAGACGGCGTTGGTTAAGAAATGACTCGTCGGCCTCAAGATATAGACTCTCAATAGGTGAAGCTCTGATCGACCCAAGACAAAGTCTTAGACCTTGAGGATGGATGGATTCTAAAAGTCTAAAGTTGCTTTTTTACAGGCTCCACTTTAAACGATGGAGCCATAATCGAGCTTAGAACGGACTAGAGCTATAAACAAATGAAGCAGAGTTGACTGGTCACTTCCCAATTTCGAATTTGACACAACTTGTAATAGGTCTAGATCTAGTGCCTTCAGGCATTTATTCTTTAAATATTTGATGTGGGGTAAAATGGTCAGATACAGGTCAAATGTCATACCTATTGGAATACCTAGGGATTGGCTTCTTTTACAGCTCTTATAGATGTACCATCCAAATTTAATTCTGGGTCTTGGTGTGGTTTGTATTGTCTACCAAAGTGGACACAGTTAGTTTTATTTTTTTGAAAATTTAAACCCGTTTTTTAAAACACCATTTACTGATTCTATTTAAACATAGCTGTAGGTGCCTTTCAATAATGTTCATATTTTGTGCCACGGCAAGAAACATTAAAGTCATCCACAAATAGCTTTCCACGAACTGAATCATTTAAAACATTTGATAACTTGTTTATCGTTATGCTAAATAATAAACAGACGAAATACTGCCTTGTGCGACACCCTGATCCTGATTGTAAGGATCAGAGTGAGTGAGTGAGTTAATATTTCAGCAATATCGTGACTAAAACAAGTTTTCAATTCACCATAAATACATGTAAACATCGGGCGGTGGGGTAGCCTAGTGGTTAAAGCGTTGGCTCGTCACGCCATAGACCCGGGTTCGAATCCCCACATGGGTACAACGTGTGAAGCACATTTCTGGTGTCCCCCGCCGTGATGTTGCTGGAATATTGCTAAAAGCGGCGTAAAACTCAGTCAGTCAGTCAGTCAGACATGTAAACATCTGTCGACAAAGGACAGTAAAACCAACAAGACTACCACAAATATATATTTAAAACTAGTAATTAAATCTAAAATACTTAAACTACAGAAGACGATACAATATAAAACCAGGCTATAGATCATCAACAACTGAAGGTAGATCACCATACTAGGGAGCATGGGGACTTACAGCGCCTTTGCTACCTGTATGGACTCTAGTCTGATTACACCATCCCTTCAGCCGCTGGCGATTTTAGGAAACATTTAGCCAAAATGTAAAAGAACAAAAATATCACGTTAAAAAATATGGTGATCTTAAATTTAAATTTGAAAGTTTTGGGACTTACGTACCTTAGTTGGGAAGACACCGCATGGGAAGACACTGCAGCGGAAAGGTTTAAGATGGTAGGGGATACAAAAGAATCTGGAATATTGTTAGGATATTTTACTTTCAGAATTTGTGTCTGATATACAAAGAGGGGGTCAGGACCTGGATTATGCCAAATGCTCACCATCACAGTTTGCACTCGTGATTGCATCATTACATTTAGAGCTGTCGAGCCTACCACTGCAACGTCAGTGATCATTATTTTGTTATCACTTTTCGCTATTTCTTACGAAGGGGGACCACTCGCTGGTAGAACAGCCAGGTAATCAAAACGGGTGTGTACAAGTGGTCCTCCTCGTTAAAAAACAGCGAAAAGTGACAACAAAATAATGATCGTTTGTTAAACAACTTTTG